CTAAAGGAACAAATCCAAGATCATCTTATGAGAATAGAATTAGAAAGATTAAGAAAGTAATATGATTTTTCTTCTTAAATAGGAGTAGTTTCAAAGGAGCTGTTAACACTTTCATGTCTGAAACTTTCTTACTGGCAAGAAGGAGAATGAAAAGAATCAGAGAGATTCAAAGACAATTTAGAGTAGCTGTAAGTCTGACACCACTGCTGATACAATTTAATTGAGGACTAATTGGAACTAAAAAGGCTAGCTATTTTGTCAACTGCTTGTATATTAGTTCCAGTCATTTTTAATCTGATGTAACAGTGATAAAGAGTCTAACTTACTTTGTTTAGTTAATAACATTAGGCCAGAAAGAATCACCTAGTCATTTTATGTTACCCAATACACTGCTAATATAAATAATGTCTAATTACACTGACTACATACTCCCATGAAATGACCAATTAGAACATTTGCTGATTCTAAATGTTCACTGTTAGAGTCATTTCCACAGGCTTTCTGCTGGTTGGATTCATAAATTCTACCCCAGCTGGTAGGATGCATAAGGGCAGTTAGTTTCAACTAACAAAGGACAAAGGACATTTAAATACTCAGACACAGTGTACAGTGTTCACATGCAAAAATATATCTACTTAAAATGTGGGTTTTTTTTGTATTTTCTGGGAGTATGTAATACTATACATTTATATACTCTTCTTGCTGAATAAAGCAGGTCATACTGCATGTTCAAGGCTCATATGATAAAGGAAGCATGTGCTGGCATTTTAATATTTAGACCAACAAATTTAGTGATTTGTATTCACTTTCAAAGACGATTTGTTGGCTGTGATCTGAAGCTGGAATGTATAATACCAGAAGAGTCTCTTATTTATTTTCATTACTTTACTGATGAGTCAATAAATGCCCCTTGAAAACGTCAGTTCAGCACATACCAACATTTTATAAAGCAACACAATCTGACAATAATATTGACAGCAATTGTGTTAAACTCAAATTAAAATCAAAATAGAAAAATAAAATAAATGAGAACAATCTCTTGTCTACAGAAAAATTGCTGACAGTGTAAAAGTTGCATTTTTAATGATTGAATGATTATCTCTTAAGTAATCATGCTGAAAAAATTGCCTGTTACATTAAAGTAAATAACAGTACATCAGTATGTGCATTACAGTATCTAATTAACACAGAGTATTAGAAATATTTGAAACAGACATAGTTATCTAGGCAGGTTAAATAAAAGAAATACATTTACAAGGGCTTCAACTAATGCACATAATATAGTCAAACAAAAATTCAATACTGTAAAAGTATCTGAAAATATCAATGTTAAATTCCTCTGAAGGTGTCTAAAATACCTGGCTGCCACACATGTCTGTATTGTGCAAGGTCTCAATCCTTCTCCCACTTAAATGAGTATAAATGTTGCCACTCAGGTCAGCAGGCTAGCATTGGGTGCTTTTCCTATTCTTAGGTGATGTCCTAAACATTACTAACCTACTTACATAAAAGTTTCTTCTTGGAATAAAAGGCAGCATGACAAACCACAGATCTGACCATTAGAATTGTTTTAGAAAATTAAATTGTAACTTAAAAACCCCATTGTGTAAATAATTACCATTTGCTAAAATTAACAAATGTTCTTTTAAATTAATTGGTATATGCTGAATGTGTGCTACTTTGTCTTATCCAGGATATTTAAAAATGAAATATATGATAAACTTTGTCTTATTGTAATTAGATTAATAAAAGAGAGTAATTAGAAGACTTACATTTTTTTCTAAGAGCTAGAAATTATTAAACTATCCAGAAAAGAAGCAAAGCTTTTATACAAAAAAAAAAAAATCATTCTTTGAGCTGAATTACGATAAATCAATAAGACTGTTTTTGTTCAATAAGTAATAATTGTCTTCATATAAACTGAAAATATTGTTTGGAATGATTAATATACAATGCTGCATTATGCATTTGGGAGTGTCAATGCATAATTTTTAGTTCTAATGTTATTATGTAATTGAGAGAACATGTTCATTTGCCCTAATAACTACTAAGATGCACTTAATAAAATGAAATGTAATAATACTTGTAATTTAATCTATTCATGGAAGTAATTTTAAAAGTCTACCATTCTCCTTAATGTGGATAACATTCATAATTTATAAAGTGTTGTGATGCAGAATTGACAATGCCATTGTTTTTTACACTTTGAGATGATTCTGCAGCCTTCATTATCTGCATACCAACCTCAGGATTATCAAGGGCAAACAAAAGATAATTAACACCAGAAACAGGCAAATGCAGGAGCTACTGAGTGAGGGATTTCATTTAATGCAGAACCTTTGAAAACTGGGAAATGGAATAACTATTCAACACCTTCTTTTTCCCTATTGCAAAAAACAATTTTAATATGGGGTTGTTTTCTAAATTTTATGTGTCTTTTTTTGCTCTAAAACTATATTGGCATGTTCAACCTCAGATACATTCAGTAAATGATTATGTTAAAGACAAGTATTTTTTTCAAGTGCTGTGTGCAAATTTTCTGCAGTGTTTTTTTTCTTTGGCTTTTTCTTTGGGGGGGGGGAGGGGGGAGTGTTTTCTTATTTTTCGTCTAGAACAGCAGACAGGTAGCTGGTATACATAGTCAAATCCTATACTTTCAGTTGTCCATAGCAAGTCTGCAAATAAATCACTTAACTGCTCCGTGCCTATTGTACAGTATTCTAAGATAGGGTTGAAAACTTTCACCACAAGAATGTGATAAACGAATAAGGTGTGGGTTTATGTGTTAATACCCTGAAGGAAAAAGCATCTGAGACTCCCAATGGCATTTTTATATGTACTCACAGCAGAACAATAAAGGTTTATTAAATGCTGATATAGGTCCAAGACAGTATATTTCAAACAGTGAGAATAGTTGAAACTTTTTTATTTTTGCACAAGGAATCTTGACTATGATTCTGCATTGCACTGTAAAAGGTTTGCTATGTAACTAATAATTTCAAAAATTAATCAGTGAATATCCTCCACAAAGAGAACCATTTGAATGCAAGGCAAAGAAGCATTGTATCATTAGACTCTTATCAGTCAATGGGCATCCTTCTACAAATGGTCCAGGCAAAGTAATTTTACAAATGGAAATATAGGACAGTGATATCCAGAGTTTCACGTAATTTACAGATGCTGATGACAGTCCAACTCCCCGCCCCTTACTTACATATGAAATTCTTATTAAAGGGGAATGTGATTATTAGCCTATGAGCTATCCATACAAGATTTAGCCGTTTGTGTTTAAATAGTATGATATATTGCCATAACTTCACTTTTTACATTTTAGAACTGAAAATACCTGATAAGTAATTGATCCAAAAATAATGTGCAAACAGTAGGAGCTTGCTTTCAGTCCAGCTCAATGGGCTGACAGCACTCTATATAGGAATGAGGGTTAACACATTCAGGACATAAATGCAAGACAACTCGATGAATCTTGTTCTCTTTCCACAAGATATGATGTCAGCTATAGCAGTATTTTCAGTATCAGGATGGTTTCTCATTTCTGCTGCACTGACCTTTTCCTCTGATCCTAACCCTCACTGGTCAGTGGTAGGCATCAGGAGGTGAGCATGACAGAAATGCCCATATGAACCTGGCCAGGCACTGAGCACACTGCCCCTCAGACAAAACCCAGTGCCAGGGAGAGGCTGAGGCCAAGGCCCAGTGCTCTCTCCATATCATCAGTTCAGTTCTTATAGCCAGATAAATCAAAGTATGCAAGTCCCTAAAATCACTCAGACAGCTGTGTGGTTGACGGTAAACTCAACATGAGCCAACACTGTGCCCTGGGGGCCAAAAGGGCCTAGGGTATACTGAGCTGCACTGAGCACAGCAGAGCTAACCAAGTTGAAGAAGAAACTCTGTTACAATACATAGTACTGGTGCCATTTTCGCTTGAGTATTGTATGTAGTCTGGGGCTACACAATATAATGATATAAAAATATCACAACATGACCAAGGGAAGGCAAAAAAGATGGTGAAAGGACTAGATGGCATGACTTATGAGGAGCAGCTGAGGATACTCTGCTTTTTCAGTTTAGAGAAGAGGAGGCTGAAGGATAATTTCTGTCTACAACTTCCTCATGATGGGGAGCAGAGAGGGATGGAACAATCTTTTCTTTCTGATGCCTGGTGAGGGAATGGCTTAACACTGTACCAGAGGAAATACAGAGTGGATTTTATGAAAAAAATCTTCACTGAGAGGGTAGTCAAACACTGGAACAAACCCTCAAGAGGAATGGTCAAAGCTCCAAGCCTGATGGTCTTTGAGTGTTTAGACAATGCTCAACTTTATGGTTGAACCTTTTTTTTATATGGTTTAACTTTTAGGTTGTTTCATGTGGAGGCAAGAGTTGTACTTAATGATCCCCATGGGTCCCTTCCAATTCAGGATATTCTATGAATCTAAAATTCTAAGTACCAGGACTCTCAGGCACTGAGTTGTCATTCTTTGCGTCTTTAGTTTCAAGATACTTATGAAAAATAGATCTCCAAACTCTTCACATTCTCAGCTGGGGAGCTTGGAAATTTGGGAAAATTTAAGAATCAAGATGCTGAAACTCCTAAGTGCTATGAGAACCTATTTTTCTTTTATTTTAATTAAAATTCCTTTTTTTTTCAAAGGACATTGGCTTTAGTTCTGTAAACATTTGTATACACGCTTTTTAGCCTAAGATCTTTAAAAAAAAAATCTACCATGTCTGGACAAGACACAGTGTCCTTTGATCTAATAGAGAATATCAGTTCTTTCACATAATTTTATTTATCTTTTATTTATTTAAAAGCCCTTGTCCTTTCATTGGATTTATCTTATGTTTAATTCCACTTCCCTGAAGGAAAATAAGACATACTCGCTACCATCTGCCAGGTTACTGTAAATACATTTTATAGAGTATGGTACCTTTTTATTTACACAGAGGAAAATACAACATCAAAGTAGATGCAGCTT